GCTCCTTAGCCGCTGAGCTATAGGCACCAAGCCTGCAGTAGGCTTTTTGGAGAAGAGTTGGGGCCTTGGTTTCCCATGGGGTTGCCTTTTCCCACTGATGATATGGCAGGTATGAAGTCCCATAGGGTGTATAATACCAGGACTTACTGTGTGCCGAGAATCCTGTTAAATACTTTATTAGCATTAGGTTATTTAAATTTCACAACATCCCTATGAGGCATGGAGTATTTTCCTCTTATTTTGCTGATGAGGAAATGGAGTCTCAAAAGTTAAATGAAGTACTTGGGGCCTGAGTGTTTACAGAGACTGTGCCCTTGACTATGAGGCTTGACAGCTTCTCTCAGCTTAGTGGTTGGTTCTCAGAGCTAGAAGGTACCTAAAAGAGAAGTGAGCTCTGACAGGATCTGGAACCCAGGGCCCTGTGGTCTCAGTGTACCCTGCAGCGCCTCCCCTGGAAGTTGTCTGGCTCTTCTGTCCGGCACCAAAGCCGAGAATGCCTCCTTTGTCCGCAATCTCTGCTGACACTCGACCTCCTGCTCTGAAAGCTCCAATTGTCACCCACACTCCTGCCCCCGCCTTTTCCAACTGTGGGGCCTTTTGTGCTCCTGAATCTCAGCACAACAGCCGGGCTGTTGATCCAGAAAGCCCAGCGTGACTGGGAGAGGGCAGCCTGCCAGCGATTCCCGATGGGGATTGTCCCAGCTCCAGCTGGGTGGGGGACCACTTGGTCTGTCCATGGGCCCAAGCTCTACAGTGGTGAGAGAGAGGTCCACACAGAAGTCAGGAGATCTGGATTCTACCCCAGCAAACTCCCTAACCAGCCTGCTCTGTGACTGAGACAAGGTGCCTTCCCCACCTCTGGCCTCAGTTTCCTCCTCTGACAAATAAGTGGTTAGATGGTAGAAGAATGTAGAGAGGGGATCTGGAGGGCAAAGGGAGGATTCCAGTTCAGGCCTGTCCTGGGGTGGTAGAAAGAGCAACAGACTGGGAACTGAGACAGCTGAGCCCCAGCTCAGTGTGGCGGCTTCAGAGTTGTGGGCCCCCAGCAAGGTCCCAACCCCTTGGGAGCTGGGCTGTCTGATCTACAAAGGCAATGAAGTGAGTTACTCCCGCTCAGACTTGGCGAAGGGGCTCGGCGAGTGTGTGGGCAGGGAGCTCACGGACGTTCAGGGTGGGGCAGGGAGGGGACGCTCCACGCAGACGGGCAGGAGCTGTCCAGGCGTGTGGCTTCTGGGAAATCTTAGGTTAGACTCTGGGGGTGTATGGTCCTTTTCTTTTGTAATTTCTCCTCCTAAATAGACCATTGACTTTCTAAATGACAACATCCGAAGAGGGATTGAGAACTACTATGACGATCTGGACTTCAAAAACATCATGGACTTTGTTCAGAAGAAGGTGAGCTGGGCACTCTGGGTGAGAGCTGTGCCTCCTGTGCCCTTTGCCCCCCACTTGGGCCCCCGCTCAAGAAAGTGAGAATAAGGCTCCTCGCTTTCCTCCATGGTGCTTGCTTGAATGTGATGATGGCTCCTTTTGCCAGTGTCCTGGGTGGCTTTTTAAAATCTCGTTTAGTCCTGACCCTCAAGTTCCTTATCTGCAGAAGAGGGATAATAAAAGTCCTTTCCTCTGGCATCATTGTGGGGGTTACCTCAACTTAATTCAGAAGAGCTCGGGCACAGGGCAAGACCACAATGTCAGCTGCGGTGATCATTGTTACATTCTCCTGGGTTGAGGACAGCAGAGTTTGAGGGCCCACTCAGCAGGGGGAGCACGTCCTGGGACACAACTCTGGGGGCTTCAGCTGGCTAGGTCCCTTGTGCCAGCCCTCCATGGGGACCAACCTCTCCCCCTACCCAGGCCACCTGCTAGGGCTGCTGCCTTAGCTCAGACCTTCTCTCTAGTCATAACAGGTGCAGGCTCTGGAAAGCCTTTTCCTGCCAGGGATGTGCCTGCCAGCTCTGGCTAGGAGAACTGTGTCCTGCTCTGGGTGGAGCAAGATGTTTTTATTGGATGCAGATCTTGGCTGGCTTGGGCACTTCACTTCTCCCAGGGTGGGTGTAGTAGGTAACTACTGCTCTCTGGGCACCTGTGTGGTGCCAGGCCCTGTGCCAGGTGCACAATCTCTCAGTGTGATCACTGCCTAGCTGTACAAAGCTGCCATAGCCTCTCCTGCTTTACAGTGAGCTGAGGCCCAGCAAGGCTGATCAATTTGCCCGAGGTCGCAAAGCTGGGGGCAGTCGTGTGAGTTTGAAAGTGGGTCTGTTTGATCTCCCTTTGAACTGTACCATAGAAAGGTGCTTCTGGGTCCCCAGACCTGATGGCCCAGGGTCCCCTATTATGGCACTCCCCTGGTTGAACCCTCCACTGACTTTGCCATACCCCTAGAGTGCCATCCCAGCTTTTGCTCCTTCACTGACAGTGCTGTGCTCAGCCAGGTCCCTGCCTTGCCCCCCCACGCTTGCTCACTATGTGCCAGCCATACCAGCCTCTGCTCCCACTTCTGACATATGAGCTTGTTTCTGTGTGGGGCCTTTGTATGGGGCATCTGGCTGTTTTCTGTTGTTCGTGTTTCAGATGCAGCATCTCTGCAGAGGGCCCTTTCCTGACTCCCAGCCTAAAGCTGCCTCCCCCCTCCCTGTTTCTCCACTTCTGGGGTGCACTGGCTCTGCCTCCTGATCTGTCACTCAGTGCTTGCTCTCTGGCTCCCTCTATTGGCGGGAGTGTTTCTTCTTTCTCACCATGTCTCTCCAGGCCCAGGATGATGCCTGGCACACATCCGCCCCTTAGGAGGGTTGCAGGAAGGACTCAGTTAAGGGGAGAGCCCCAGACAAGGTGTGAGATACGAGTGCCCCCTTTGCTACGGCAGGACCTGCTGAGCTGGATGGAGCATCTCTGAGGGCAGATAAGGAAGTCGCTTGTGCAGCAGGGATTTTCTTAAGATCATGGTTCCTGGGATCTTAAAGACACCTGTACCAGGGACATGAAGATAAAGAAGGTGGAATCTGGTTGTCAAATAAGGACCTTTCCTCTCAGTGTCTAGTCACCACCCTGATATCCCACCAAGAGGCTGCCCAAGCCCAGCCCCTCCCCAGTGATGGGGAGTTTACTACTTCCAAGGTGGCCATGCCACTCTTGGACGGCTCTGACCTGACAGCCTGCAGCTTCTCCCCCAGCCAGGGTGACCTATGTGTAAATTGCATTCATCTCCCAGCAGGGGCCCTTCCTGCTGCCCGGGGCATCTGTGGTGACCATCTCCTCTCTCCTGCTTGCTTCCTTTTTCAGTTTAAGTGCTGTGGCGGGGAAGACTACCGAGACTGGGCCAAAAACCAGTACCATGACTGCAGCGCCCCCGGACCCCTGGCCTGCGGGGTGCCCTACACCTGCTGCATCAGAAACACGGTAGCCCCTGCTCTAGGGGTGGGGGTGCATGGGGGCCACCCAGCTGGCCAGACTCCCCTCTCTTCTTTCTGCCCAAGTTGAAGCCAGGTGGCCTGGGAGGAGGGGGGTTGGCAGGGGTGTTGGTCAGAGCCGAGGCTTTCCTGAACCTCAGAGGCTGCTGAAGTCGGAGATCCTGGGGGTGGGAGTGGGATGGCCATGTCTTTACTGCGTGTCACTTAACATCTTTGAGCACTTACCCTGTGCCAGCCTGTTCTGGGTTCTTTGGTTGTATTAACTCGTTTAATCCTTATACAACCCTGTGAGTTAGGTACTGTTATTTTACCCACCTGACAGATGAGGAATTGAGGCACCAGAAGATTAGATGTCTTGCCCAAGGTTGTTGGGGCTGGGATGCAATGAAGGCAGCTGCTGCCCAGGCTGTGCTCTGGAGCACTGTGCAAGCCAGGTGAGGGTGGAAAGTGGTGGGGGGAGAAACTTCTGGTCCAGGGGAGCTTAGCAGGGTTGGCCAGCTCTGCAGCGTGAGCTGGAGGCCACACAGGTCCTGCACTCTGGGTGTCTCTAGTGGACTTTGGCCGTGACATCCTGGTGATCATTAGCAACTGACCAGGTATTTGGAAAGAGGCCTGGTGACGTAGATGCCTCCTCTCCCTGGCATGATTCTCTGAGCTCAGGCACTAAGGATGCAGTCTTGTGTAGTCACTGCCTAGGCGAGAGGCTGTCAGTCCTTGTGTTTGACTAATGTGTTCAGAGACTGTTTTTGGCTTGGAATGAGGTGGAGAGCTTTGTAATTACTCATGCCCCAGATAGTCATGGAAAGTTTCTCTCCTGACATCTCCACTGTTCCATGCCCACTGGTGGATCTGTAAACCAAGCAGCTGTGGGTGGGGACCTCGAGCATGAGTTGGGGAGCCAGCACCAAGTGACTGGCCCTAGAAAGGGCTGGGCTAGGAGGGGAGCTGTGTTTGGAAGTGTTGACTGCCATTTAGGGGAGGGGTAGGAGCCCAAGGTTTTTGGAGGGGCCTGTGTGGGGTGATCCTGAACTTTCTCACTCAGGAAAGCAGCACCGGAATGTCCTAGTCCAGATGTGGAAGCCCAATTTGTGTTCATTCATTCATTCAATGAGTTTTATTGAGGACTCTTATGTGCCAGACACATTTCTGAGTCTTGAGGGGATGGCCATCACACAGAGAAGTCTCTGCCCACACGGAGATGACCCTATGGTGTCATATTACTCTATAAGATGTCATCTGACTATGACACTATAGTGTCTTATTACTCAAAATAAGTAAAAGGCAGTATGTTAGAAGGTGATAAGTGCTAAGGAGAGAAATAGAGCAGGGTGTGGAGGTTTGCAATTTCGGATACTGAGAAGATGGGTTCTGAGTAAAACCCTGAAGGAAACGAGGGAGTAAGCTGTAGGTGCCTGGGGAGGGACACTCCTGGGAGTGAGAACAGCAAGTGCAAAGGCCCTGAGGTGGGAATTGCTTTGAGGTGTTTGAGAAAAGACATAAAGACCAGTGTGGCTGGAGCAGAATGGGCACAGGGAGGATGGTAGGAGGTGGCATCAAGGAGGTTGTGTGTGAACCACAGGCCATGGGCAGGACTGTGGGGTGCCCTTGCATGACAGGGGTCCTTCAGGGATTCCTGTGGTAGATCTGACTTGGGTTGTACTAGATCTCCCTGACTACAGCCGAGGACACAGGGAATCAGGTTGGGGGCTACTGTGCAGCAATGTGGGTGTCACAGGTCAGCCTGTCTAGGAAGCCTCCTCTGAGCTGGTAGTCAGTGGGACCTGAGCAGGAAGCTTAGTGGGAGGGAGGAGCTGAAGCAGGGTTGGGAGGGGGACAAGTTGAGCAATGGTGTGGTCTTAGAGCAGTTTGGCTGGGGACCACAACTACACGGTGGTCCTTCAGAGTTGTCCCATATTGGAGTGAGGAGGCCGGGCCCTCATACCTCTACACTGACCAGGCCTTGTGAGAGTAGTGTCCCACTGGGATAGGACTTGCTGGCTCTGTTCATCCAAGGTATATCAGTCTGGATTTGCCTCTCAGATCTGTGTGTTAGGTTGAGAGATGGTGAACTTTGGGGTACTTTTTTTTTCTTCCCAGACAGTCTCACTCTGTTGCCCTGGGTAGAGTGCTATGATGTCATAGCTCACAGCAACCTCAAACTCTTAGGCTCAAGCTATCCTCTTCTCTCAGCCTCCTGAGTAGCTGCCACAGCACTTGGCTAATTTTTCTCTATTTTTAGTAGAGATGAGGATCTTGCTTTTGTTCAGGCAGAGCTTGAACTCTTGAGCTCGGGTAATCCACTGGCCCCAGCATCCTAGAGTATTATAGGCATGACCCACTGCTCTGGCCTGTGGTACTGACTTTCTACCTGCTCAGGAGTCATCTTTCTGACTTCCTTTCTGTGGCCCTCTGCCGGGTGAGGAAGCTACTGGACCACTAGCTTCAGTACCTGTGAACTGCTGTGAGGGACGGGGGTGCACAGAGTCTTCTGCAGAACATTGATTCTGTGGTCAAACCCAGGGAGGCTTTCCCTTTGGAAAGACCATGGTTGTGTTGTATCCTCCCACCTCTCGGTGGGGGGCTCTCCTATCATGGAGGAGGCGGGTCCCTTGGGGCCTGGAGAAGGGTCTCAGCTCTGGTGTCAGGGCCAGTTGCATGTCTGCTGGGAGACTTGGTGCCCCTGAGGCAGGCCTGTGCTTCCACCCGAGAGCTGGCGCAATGAAGTTACTCTTGTCACCTCCTTCCATACTATCTAGTTTGCCTATTTGTTAGGTCCACTGTCTGTTTCTTTTCTATAGCATAAGGTCTGTGAAGGTGGAGACTTTGTCTTGTTATTCTGTATTCCACATGACTGGAACTGTGATTGGCACAATATAGGTGCTCAATTAGTATCAGTGAATGAATAAATAAATGAGGTGAAAGCACTCACTCCCATCATGTGCTTGGGCACCTGCTCCAGGCCTACCCCTCTCCTGGGGGTCATATTCATGGCCTGGGAGGGCCACACATGCTGACTGGCTGAGGCCAAGTGGGCACTGGGCATTGCTGGGTCTGAGGGCACCCAGGGGACTGTCTAGAGACCAAGGGAGGTTATGTTGCTCATTCACCACGCCCTGACATTTAGAATGTCCTGGATGACGTCTGTGGCTTCTGTGGCTTGACCTCTCTTTAGGGAGAGTCAACACTCTTGCTTGCCTTTCCAGGGGCTGGAATTGTGAACAAAGTCACTCCAGCCAGCATTCCTGTGCTCTTCCATGTGACTGGCCCTGGGACAAGCACTTTATGTGTGTATCTCACTTTATATTCAGAACAACCCCTGGAGGTGGGTTTGCTGATCTTCATCTGTTCACTAACAAATATTTACTGAGTGCCCTATGGGCCATCTCTTGGCAGCCCACCTGGGTTAGTCACAGATCTCGCTGGTAGCAGAGCAGGGTCTGGCCCCAGGAGACATGGTGCCTGGGGGCAGGCTGGGTGCTGGGCTGGTGCCTCCTGTCTCTTAACTACCTCCTGTGCACCCATACTGCACAGCAGCATCACTTAGACGTGGAGCAGTGGGGCTGGTAGGGGCACGGCTGGACCAGGGGGTCTTGCTCTCTCATCTCAGGAGAAGGAGGCCCCGCAGGGCACAGGCAGTGATGGGGAGTGGCCCTGCCAGCCCGTAACTCAGAGCCTTTCTGGGGAAGGATTTGTTGGTATCTAAGACCCAACCACTGATCCTTCCCTGCACCTAAATTAATCAGTAGCTGGGAGTCCTGGAGAGCAACTCCATTCCCGGGAGGGAACTTGTGGCAGCGCCCTCCACTGGTGGCACGGTGGTCTGCAGGGACAGCAAGTGTGGCCAGGGTTCCCTGCCTTGCCTCTGGCAAACCACAGCTGACTAGGGGCTCCAGGAGGGCTGCTGCTGGGGGTTGGGGAAGGGTTCTCTGACCTAAGAGCCATGGAACTAGCCCACCCATGTTTCCTCGCTGGGCTTTTCTTGAAGGGAGTGGTTGAGATACAGAATGAAGCTAGACTGCCCGGGTTGGAATCTCAGCTCCATTTGTGCCAGACAGCACGACTCTCTGTCTCAGTGCCACTCTGCCTCTGGGTTCTTCCCTCTGTAAGATGAGTAGAGTGCTAGTGTCTTTTAAAGTAAGCGCCATGATACATGTTAGCTACTATACATTTCTGTTTCAGACAGAAGTTGTCAACACCATGTGTGGCTACAAAACCATCGACAAGGAGGTAATGTCTTTGAAATGCCTTTCCCTAGAAATGTTGCCTTGGGGACAACAGGGGTTACTGGAGCTGTGGGTCCTGGCTGTAAGCCAGAGTGCTGAGGTTTTCTGCCTCCACCCAAACACAAAAGGGTTCAGGGAACCCAGAATTACTCCAGGCTGGGAAATGCCACCTGCTAGGGTTTGCCAAGCACCTACTATGGGTTGGTCCATGCGAAGCAGTCCCTCCAACCCTTGTTGGAACCCCCAGCCGTGTTCAGCACCAGCTTACTTCTGCTATGGGGGCCAGCAGTTTGCAGATTCTTCATGCTGATCCCCTCTGCCTGGGACCTAGGAGTCCCTGGAGTTCAGCAAACCCTTTGGCGGTTCCCCTCCTCTCAGGTCAGCTTTCTGGGCAACTCCCTTGGACTAGAAGAAAAGCTGGGGTGATGCTGGGAGGGAAGCTCAAAGGAATGGTGACCTGAGATGCTTCCCAGCAGTGGTTTCCAAGGTGGGGTCCCTGGACCACAACAACAGCATCCCCAACAACTTGTTAGAAATGTACATTCTTGAGGTGGGACATTCTGACTCTGCCAAAGTTTGAGAGCTGTAGACCAGCAGTAGTCCTCAACCTATGAGAACCAACAGCCATTTTTTATAAGAAACACTTGGTAATGCCCTAGTTATTACCCCCTGCCCCATGAATTTCACAGATAATATAAGCTACTTAGACTCAACATAGTGATCTGAGATGAAAGAGAAATGAGACAATTTACAGCGATCTGGTGCATTTCAGCATGTAAATGCTCAGGCAGTCCAGAAGTGCAGGAGAAGACACGGTGAAGGGGTCAGGAGTTGGCACGGATGTAAAGGATCCTCTAGACTGGGATGACCTCGGGGCAGGGGGGTAGGGGTTTGGGTTGGCAATTCACCTGCCTGGGACATCCATTTTGCTGTTGGCACAGTGTTTTAAAATGGTGAACAATTCTTGATAAAGTTCTGAATTAAATAAAGTATAATTCCTTAATTTACATAATAATAGGTCTAGGAAGTTCATTGTGTATTAAACTGGACACAGAAAAAAAAATTTTTTTTTATAAGTACCTGAAGTAAGGCTTCTGGCTCAGAAGTAAGGTTTGTAGTAAGTTTATCACTCATACCAATACCTGGGGGACACCTGAGAGGTGTAGTAAGGTTTATGACTCACGCCAATTGTAGTAAGGTTTTTCACTCACACCGATACCTGGGGGACACCTGAGAGGCAGGCAGGCAGGCAGGACAGTTGTGTGTAGGATTGGATTGCCCCGAGCTCTGCAGTCCTTCAGCCCTCAGGTTATTGGGACAACCAGAGGAGCCACCAGTGTCCCCAGTGCTCTCTTAGCAATACAACCTGTTGAGAACCAGTGGTCTAGAGCCACCTCCTCGTGTGGGGAGGCCCTCCTCTAGGGCCACCTCCACCTCGTGTGGGGTGGCCCTTGTCTAGGGCCATCTCCACTGAGGTCCAGTGGTCTAGGGCCGCCTCCTCGTGCTGCATGTGGGAAACTGAGGCCCGGGGTGGTTGAGGGACTGGCTCAGACCTGGAGTGAGTGGTAGAGTTGGGATGCAGGCTCCCGTGGGCTGACTGGCCCCTTCCCACGCAGCGCTTCAGCGTGCAGAACGTCATCTACGTGCGGGGCTGCACCAACGCTGTCCTCATCTGGTTCATGGACAACTACACCATCATGGCAGGTGTCCTACTGGGCATTCTGCTCCCCCAGGTGGGCAGGCTGTGGGCTCCGAGAAGGGAGGGTTGGTGGTGCGGAGATTCTCCTCGGCAGTTTGGACTCACCCTGGGAGGGCTGCAGGGCTGAGAGGAGAGGGCGAAGGCACTAGCCCTGGTGGTTAAGCTCTTCCAGGTGCTTCCCAGGCACGGTCTCCTCCACGCTGTCTGTGAGGCAAGTACAGCTATCATGCCCATGGCACAGGGGAGGAAACTGAGGATTAGTAAGGCTGGTTGAGTCCTCCCTAGATAGTGCGAGGCAGAGCTGGAGTGGAGGCAGGAGTTGCAGGCTGGAGGAGAATGGGAGATCTCTGGGATTTCCTGGGAGGCGTTGAGGGGGCCCAGGCTGGGGCTGCTTGGGCAGTGGGGGTTTCCTGGGCCACCTAGTGCTATGAGGGCTTGTGACTAGCCGCAGGGTTTCTGATGTCCAGCGTGCTCTCACTTCTTCTCAGTTCCTGGGGGTGCTGCTGACACTGCTGTACATCACCCGGGTGGAGGACGTCATTGCGGAGCACTCTGTCACCGACGGGCTGTTGGGGCCTGGTGCCAAGCCCAGCGTGGATGCCGCAGGCACGGACTGCTGCTTGTGCTACCCTCTTTAGGGCCCTGCCTGGGACAGCAGCTCCAACAGGACCATGCTGGACAGCACCTCTTGATCCACATTGTAGGGTGGACAGGATTGTGCCCCACTGCTCACACTGGGCACTGACCAAAGCCTGGGTTATGTGTGTCTGCCTGTGTCCATCGGCCACTGCCTCCTCTGGGGGGCTTCCCTGTGGCCTGGGCAACAAAGGTGTCCCTTCTCCAGGCCTGGGCTGCAGGGGAAAGGGGAGTTTGAGGCCCATTTCATTTCTGCCTGTGCCTTGGCCTGTGGCCCTTATACCCCTGCAAAGGGTTTTGTGGTGACTTGGTGAGGAGAGAGGAGTATGTGTGCCCTGATGGGTGGGAGGGGCGGGCTGCAGATCTGGGACCCCAGCCCCTCAGCCCTGCCTAGGCCCAGGCTGAGCCACTTCTCAGCCTTCCAGGTGCCTTGAGCTCTCTCCTGTAAGGGCTGCTGCTTTGCTGACCCTAGTTTTTTATGTGATTTTTGTAAAATTCATCTTTTGTACAGATAACAGGAATTTCTGACTGATCAAAGCTGGTTGTTCCCCCACCTGCCTTATTCTTTTTTTGCCCCCTTCAAGCCAGTTTATTAATCAAACAATAAAAGTACATTTTTTTTTTTTTTTGGTCTTTGATTTGTGCTATTTTTGTTTGAGGGGCGGTGTGAGGAGGGACTCAGTTTGGATTTGGAAACCCCTTGTTGGTGCAGTAGCTGAGCAAAAGATTTGAAGGTTTGGTACAGTTTGGGACACAGGCAGGGGAAGGCCACAGGGCCGGAGGTGATGACATCTATCTTACTAAGAAGTGAGGGAAACTAAGGCTGAGTGATAGATGGCATTAAGCCTGTATCCAGGAAGCAGGCAGATGGGAACTAGGAAAGTCCCAGACCTTGGGAGCAGCAGTGCCCACAGGGCCATGTGTGGCTGCAGAACCAGAGCCATTCGCCCTGTGCCCACATTAGAATGTAGCTCTTTGTCCCCAAGAGCTGGTGCTCCAGGCCATGCAGAGTGTAGTGCTCATTGCCTCCTGCTGGTGATGGTGGGACTTGCATGGACTAGTACATCCAAATCCTTGCAGGGGATTTTCTGTGAGGTTCTTGGTAGCCAGGGAAATAAACCAGCAATATTCCCCAAAGTTGAAGAACCCTAATGGTAGGGACTGACATACACCTAGACGTCACGTGGCTGGGTGCCTGGTCTGCCACGTTTAGGAGCCTGAGTTGTCTGAGGGGTGTAAGGGCAGGAGGAGGGTTTTAGAAAGGAAAGGGTAATGCATTGATGTGAATGCATCATAGAGAAAACTTTGTGCCAGGAACTTATCTAAACATTTTCTAGGTATTAACTCCTTTAATTCCCCCAAATGTATGTGATCATTCTTATCTCCATTTTATTGGTGAGGAAACTGAGGCACAGAGCAATTAAGTAACTTCCCAAGGCACGTGGCTGCTAAGCGATAAAGCCATGCCTTGAGCCCAGGTAGACTCTCTCCTGGCTCTCAGCCTCTCTGCTTACCGCCTCTGCCACCTCCTGTGTGCACTGGGTATGCAAACCAGCCATGGTGGTAGTTGCTACTGCATCTCTGCCCTGGGGGTAGAGCTGCTTCTGGAGCCTCTGTCTTGTCCCCACGTTACTGCATGGACACAAGGCCAGGTTGAACTCTGTGTCTGGCTACTGGCCTCATGGCTCTGAGGCTCTCGCTGTTCTCTGAGAATTCTCTCTGTGCCCAGAGGAGAGAGCACAGTGTGATAGCAGAGGCCCTGCAGAGGCTGGGACTGCTCTGAGTCTGTGTGTCCAAAGTCACCTTACCCCAGAGCCTGGAAACCTGTCACCTTGTCTTCCCCTCTCTGCACTGCCACTCACAGATGCCTCTCTGCCTCACATTGTGGCCCCACACGGCTGTGGATCTGGGTTTGTGACTTGGTGCCCCAGACAGCTGGGCTCCAGCAGATACTCATCTCTCCTCTAAACCTCAGTCAGTCACCTCTCAAGAAGGTGAAAGGGAACACTTGGGGAGGGCCTGTCAGTTCTGTGGCAGGGGCTCCCCTGCCATGGCACCTTTTGTGCTTGAGATAATGGTGTCACCTTGTCCCCTTGTCTGACAATAAGGGAGCAAGGACCCTCAAAACTAGTGCTTTCCCACACTATGGTTCATGGAGAAAATGATATTTATGAAGCTAGAGGAGATTTGTAGGCTTTGATTTTGGACTTTTTTGTTCTATAATTATAAGGAAAAAAATGCTTTAAGGAGGACTTTGTATAAAAATCTTAAATATAATATTCTGAAAAGACATTTTAATAGGTTGAGGTATACTTGACATAAACTGCACATATATTTTTAATTTATTATTTTATTTCTTTATGAGATAGAGTCTCAAGCTGTCACCCTGGGTAGACTGCTGTGGCATCACAGCCATAGCAAACTCAAACTCTTGGGCTTAAGGGATTCTCTTGCCTCGGCCTCCCAAGTAGCTGGGACTATAGGCGCCCATCACAATGACTGGCTATTTTTTGGTTGTAGTTGTCATTATTTGGCAGGCCTGAGCTGGACTCGAGCCTGCCAGCTTCAATGTATGTGGCTGGCGTCCTAGCTGCTGAACTATAATAATAATAATGATAATAATAATAATAATTTTTTTTTGAGACAGGGGCCTCCAGCTGTCCCCCTGGGTAGAATGCTGTGGCATCACAGCTCACAGCAACCTCCAACTCCTGGGCTCAAGTGAGTCTCCTGTCTCAGCCTCCTGAGTAGCTGGGACCACAGGCGCCTGCCACAACACCGGGCTATTTTTTGATTGTAGTTGTCTTTGTTGTTTGGCGGGCCCGGTTGGATTCGAACCCGCCACCTTGGGTGTACATGGCTGGCGCCTTAGCCACTTGAGCCACAGGCACCGAGCCTAAATTTATTATTTTTATAGATACATTACATTCTTTCATACCGGCTGGAAGTGCAGTGGTGCCGTCATAGCTCACTATAACCACAAACTCCTGGACTCAAGTGATTTTCCCATCTCAGCTTCCCAAGTAGCTAGGACTATAGGTGTGTGCCATCATCCTTGTCTAATTTTTTAATTTCTTTTTTTTTTTTTTTTTGCAGTTTTTGGCTGGGGTTGGGTTTGAACCCACCACCTCCTGCATATGGGGCCGGAGCCCTACTCCTTTGAGCCACAGGTGCCACCCTAATTTTTAAATTTTTTTGTAGAGGCATGGTCTTAGTATGCTGCCCAGGCTGGTCTTGAACTCCTAGGCTTAAGCAAACTTTACAACTCAGCCTTCCAAAATGCTGGGATTGTAAGTGTGAGCCACTGTGCCTTGCTAAACTGCATGTATTTAAAATGACAAATGTGGCCAGGTGCAATGGCTAACACCTGTAATCCCAGAACTTTGGGAGGCCGAGGTGGGTGGATTGCCTAAGCTCAGGCATTTGAGACCAGCTTGAGTAAGAGTGAGACCCCATCTCTAAAAATAGCTGGGGGTTGTATTGGGCACCTGCAGTCCCAGCTACTTGGGAGTCTGAGACAAGAGGATCACTTGAACCCAAGAGTTTGAGGTTGCTGTGAGCTATGATACCATTGCACTCTGCTAAGAGTGAAAGTAAGACTCTGTCTCAAAAAAAAAAAGAAAAGTGACAAATGTAGGTATCAGGGAAACCATTACCACAATCAAGATAGTGAACATGTTTATCACTTGAAAAAATCTCTCATCCATTCATTACAGACTCTTACCTCACCCCCAGGAAGCTACAGTCTGTTTTCTGTCTCTATAAATTACTTATGTTTTCTAAAATTTTATATAAGTGGACTCATACAGTGTGCATCCTTCTTGTCTGGTTTCTTTCACTCAACAGTTATTTTCAGATTCATTCATTTTGTAGCATGTATCAGTAGTTCATTCCTTTTTGTTGCTGAGTAGTATCCCCTTGTATGGATATACCATAGCTTGTTTATCCATTCACCTATTGATGGATATTCTTATTTCCAGTTTTTTGTTATTATTACAAATAAAGATGCTATGAACATTTGTGTACGTGTCTTTATAAAAACATACTTTCATTTCTCTTGGGTAAATAGAAGTAGAATGGCTGGCTCTCATGGTTAAGTGTATGTTTAACTTTTTTTTTTTTTTGAGACGGAGCCTCAAGCTGTCCCCCTGGGTAGAGTGCCGTGGCTTCATAGCTCACAGCAACCTCCAACTCCTGGGCTCAAGCGAGTCTCCTGCCTCAGCCTCCCAAGTAGCTGGGACCACAGGCGCCGGCCACAACGCCCGGCTATTTTGGGGTTGCAGCCGTCATTGTTGTTTGGCGGGTCTGGGCTGGATTCGAACCCACCACCTTAGGTGCATGTGGCTGGCGCCTTAGCCACTTGAGCCTTAAGCAATTCTCTTGCCTCAGCTTCCTGAGTAGCTGGGACTATAGGCGCCTGCCAGAACACCTGGCTATTTTTTGTTGCAGTTTGGCTGGGGCCGGGTTCCAACCCACCACCCTCAGAATATGGGGCTGGTGCCCTACCCACTGAGCCACAAGGGCCACCCTAGCTGTACTTTTATATCTGTTAATCAACCTATGGCTATTTTCTCTCCAAAGATGGCATTGCAGTGGGGCTGCCCACTTCCTGGAGACCCCATGAAGAGGCTTGGAGCAGAGTGGGAGTGAACTGTCCACCCAGAGGATGAAAGAGGGGAAAACATTTCCTCCTCAGCCCCCATTAGTCAAGAGTGGCCCCAGGCACTAAGTCCCCTGCTCTTTAGGCTGCCCCTGCACAAGTACCTAGCAGATTTCTGTGGGTTTCAAACCACCGCCTCAGAAGAGCCCCAGGGCAGAAAGAGAGGTGTGTGTGGGCGGGGTGATGCCGGGGAGGAGGCATGCCTCCATGCACCTGCTCAAAGAATGGCATCCTGCAATAGTACACAGGACGGAGAGGATTTGGAACACAGCACGGAGGTGTCCGATCCCCACTCTGTCCCTCGCACCAAGCCCAGTGCCTGGACACAGTAACAGATTAGACAATAGATCTGGGGAATGAAGGGAAAAGATGGATGAGGAGGTGGTATTCATTGGGAAATAAACCCTAAGTAGCCCCTGGGAGCCAGGCCAGCCCCTCGCCTTTGTCCCAGAGGACAGATTAGTGCATAGGGCAGTGCTCACAGCCTGGACTCTGTGTAGTGCTGGGGCTATGCTGGGGCCCTGGGATGGATGTGAACTTTGCCTCTTGATCTTTCAGAGGACAACCTTTTTTTTTTTTTTAGGACTCCCAAGTAGCTGGGACTATAGGCGCCCATCACAATGACTGGCTATTTTTTGGTTGCAGCCATTATTGTTGTTTGGTGAGCCTGGGCTGGATTCGAACCCACCACCTTAGGTGTATGTGGCTTGCGCCTTAGCCGCTTGAGCCACAGGTGCCGAGCCAACAACCCTTTTTTGGATGACTTCTCTCCACCATCCCACAATCAAGTAACAACTGCCCCTTTTATTTCATACACAGCCCCTGTGCTTGTCACTTTTTGCCCATTATGATCCCAAGTCCCTTTTCTGAAACATAATGACTTGAGATCAGAAGAATTAAGGAATGTACTTAGGGCCTCCCCTACCTGTGAG